TTGCTGTAGACTTTATAGTCTGAAGAAATCAGCACGAACACGGCCACAAACACGACCGTGTCCTCTGGCCGTGTTCTATCCTAAGTGCGCTGCATTCTTCCGTCTATGAGAAAAACCATAACACGGCCAGTGAACACGGACATGTTCAGGCAGTGTTCTTCAAAACTCGACAAAACACTCCATTTTTGCCCGACTTCACGACCTCTTCATTAACTATCACGGTCTGAGTGACCTTGATAATCTTCAATGTCAGTGAGATGGCAAAAGCCTCTGGAACTCAGTTGCGGACACAATCTATGAACACAGATGTGTTCTGGCCATGTTCGCCAAATGGCAAGAATCTTCTGGCACCTGAAACGCTGTCGTGTCCAGGTTGAAGGTGTTAACACGGTCGTGTTCCTGGCCGTGTTTTCTTCATTTCTTGCCATTCTTTTCTCCATTCATCCTGAAACTCGTCCTCAATCTTCCACACGTGCTAGGACCTGAAATGTATCAACAATAGCACAACCTAGCATAAAATAGATCGAGGGACGATTAAATGCCTATCAAGAAATGAGGGTAAAATGTGTACAATTGGAAGAGATCTTGTGATTTAATCTCCTCCCTTTACTTAAAGAGATCTTGTGAGCCTTTATCCACATCCTTAGCTCTTTAGCTAATTTTTTTCTTCTCATTCTTCCTCCTCTCTACCTTAGCCTCAGCCAGCCATAAACTCTCTTCAAGTCCCAATATTGTACAGTCAAATTCAGTGTTCCATGCATCGGCTTCATCCGCCGCCTCTTCCACCCTCCTATAAATCTGCAGTTCTTTTTGAAACCTGCACCAATAGCTTCTATAGTTACCACACATAATACATAAATGACAAATGGGCGATCACTCTCTCTCGTTTACCTTCCAATATGAACAATCATAGAATTTTTTGCTTAGGTTCGTCTTAGTACTAGTTGTGTTAATCACACAAGGAGCATGGTGCTTCCGACAAACTACCCTAAGGCTATTGATGCTTTTTGGAGATGAAGAAGCGTGATGAGACATGGCAAACCCTCACCTACTGATTCTTGTCGCAGTTGTGGAAGCCTGCTAAACGTCCTCCTTCAAGGCGTGAATCGGGAAAGAGGAAAGGCAGCAACGCTGACGGTAGAGTGGTGCAGAACGGCGGCGACCAGGGGGGGATGATTTAATAGGCGGCGGCCCTTTCGAATCTTAATCTCCATCATCGAATCCCTGCAATGAAATGGAGGTAAGTGTGAGGACAGAAGAAGGCCCATGATGATTAGGTAAGCCTTTAAAACTTTCAAAAATAATTTATTTTTAATAAAAATGATGAGTCATCCACATGTCCTCGGAGGCTGAGTTGCGATGACGTGTCCGGTGTGTTGGCAGCCTAGCCTAGTAAGCATACAGTTAAAATAACTAACGGTGATACTGACGCCGTTAAAGTTTAAAATGAAAATGGCTATATTTGTTATGAAACTTTCAAAATTCTGACTATTTTGTGTATTTATTGGAAAGTGACTATTATTGTGACAACCGAGAAAATTTTGGCTACACAGATGAATTTTCTGTTATTGTTTGAATGTTCTTTTTTGTCATTAATATATTAAAATGTTGGTACAATATTTTTTTAGAGTTAAATACTATTTTTAATCCAAACCTTTCACAGATTCTAAAATATTAGCCAAACTTTTGAGAATACGAAATATTAGCCAACCGTTAAGTCTTCGTTAATACTTCCATTAGATGATGATGAGCCGGTGGAAGTGATGTTAAGATGGAAGGAATATAGTGACATGACACTAAAAATAAATACTTTTTATTTCTTAATTTACGATCTAAATTAAAAAAGGATAAATATTAATTATTAACCAAACCTTTCACGGATTCTAAAAAGTTAGCCAAACCTTTGAGAATACGGAATATTAACCAACCATTAAGCCTCTGTTAATACTTTCGTTCGATGATGATGAGCTAGCGGATGTAATCTAAGATGGAAGACATACGGTGACATGACACTAAAAAAATTTAATTTATGTTTCAAAACACGTGGACTGACGATTAGCCTACATGTAATTATGTTAAGGCTAACACTAACAGAAAATGGCTATACTTTTGTAGTGTTCTGAAAGAGTTGGTTGATATTGTGTATTCTCAAAGATTTGGCTAATATTTTAGAATTCGCGAATAGTTTGGCTAAAAAATACTATTTACCTTGTTTTATATTAAAAAAGTACTTTTGGTTGAGTGTTTATTTCTATGGGACAAAGGAGTCCAACCATAATTGTCTCATCTTTATTTAACTTTTTGTAGGTTATACGCATATATCTGCTCTATATCCAATAAGTGCAGAATTTCTGTATTTTAACTGAATTACCATTGGGTCTGTTGTCGTCTCTAATAACAATATTAGGGAGACCAATGTAGCTATAGGGGTTGGCAACGGGACGGGATTGGGTACCCGTTCCATTTGAAACGGGTATCCATTCCAATTTGGAGAAGAAATTTCATCCCATGTCCCAAATCCGTACGGGGTAACGGGCACCCATTACCCACACCGGATGAGTAACGGGTACCCGCGGATACCCATAAAAGGATAACAAGTACAATTAGGTAATTTACTAAACTTGGTACGCAATGTGTTAAGTTTAGGATTAAGCACAAAGCATTGACTAGATATAGCCGCTCTGTGCTTCCAACCACAGGTTAGAAAGGAATTAGTTGATCATCAGAATGCTTATTCACCTATGTCCAGGAAAATAATGGTGATTGTTGGCAGAAGTGATTAATTAAACTGGGTAAAATTGGTGATTGTTCATCAGTTCCTGAGTAAGATTGTGGGAGGGTGAAAACGAGATGCAAGTTATAATTGGAACTATAATTTTATTTTGTCTTAAGAAATTGGGCTTTTAGTTTCCTTACTACTATAACAGGCAGGCAATTTAATTTGTTTCTGGTCAACAAGGAGACAACTCAACTCATTAGGCATGCCATTATAAACTCATTTACCAGCTAGTGCTAGTGATTTAGTGACTGAACTGTGAATGGCTCATTCCTCTTTGGGGTATGCTTTGTTCGCTGTGAACTAAGGGTTAGAGCAGTAAATTGGAGCTATAATTTGAGTGAGCGGGTAGTATGAGTACTCGTAATATCCAAACGGGTATTAATGGGTAATCTGTGGGTATTCATTGTAGAATTTCTTAATTCCAAATTTCACCCCTTAAAAAATGTTATGAGTATTTGGATACCCACAACCCTCAAAAAATGAGACGGGTATGGATATACCTAGGGATGACAACAAAACCCGAACCCACGGGTACCCACCCGACCCAACCGGGTCAACGTGGGTAAAATCCGTGTTGACGGGTTTTGGGCCGGGTTTGAGTTTAAACCTATTCATTATTCACCGGATTGGGTTTGGGTTTAGATAAACCCGACCCACAACAAGCTCCTGACTAATGCTGAGCGCAGTCGGCGCCATCTGGCTCAATCTGCAGACTGCCCAATTTGCGGTGGCGGGCCTGAAACGGCTCTTCATGTTATCCGCGATTGCCCTTTCGCGATGCTTGCCCTTAGTTGGTTGGGGTAAGAGGTTATCAATATGCTCGACCGAAGGTTTATTATGAGCCCTATGAGAGGGGACCGGTTATTGTAACAACACCCATTGTGTTGTTATTGTAACAACACTAGTCCCCAACCAATAGGAAGCTAGGAATGTGATGACTTTTTATTAGTTGAGTTGACCTAGTGTAAAATCAAAACAGGGGTATAATTGTCATTATGAAAAATATGTTTAAATAATAAAAAAATACAAAATAAAAAAAATAAAAAAATAAAAATAATATTTTTTATTTTCTGCCCAAAAATTCGGTCGCCGGAATTCTGCCACCGGTCGCCGGAAAAGGTCGCTGGTCACCGGAATATGCCTTTTGTCGCCGGAATATGCTATTTTGTGACCGGAATATGCTTACCGGAGTCGGAATATGCTTACCGGCGTCGGAATATGCTTACCGGCATCGGAATCTAGTCACCGGGGCCGGAATATGCCTATCGGCGTCGGAATATGCTCACTGACGGTCATCGGAGTTTGGTCAACGGTCTTCGTTGGCCGGTCAACGGTCTTCGTTGACCGGTCAACGGCTAACGACCACCGGATGTTATGGTCTGCATTGTGAGATTTATGGTTTGGTTTCTCATATTTTTGTATGCCTTTTGTGGTTTGTTTTATCGTGTTTGTGGTTTGCATTAAGAAGTTTCTGGTTTGCTTTATCGTGTCTGTGGTTTGCATTGAGAAGTTTCTGGTTTGCTTTCAAAAACTTTGTGGTTTGCATTGAGGGGTTTCTGGTTTGTTTTAATATATTTGTGGTCTGCATTAGGACGTTTATGGTTTGCTTTTTTGTGGTTTGATTTACTGTGTTTGTGGTTTGCATTAGGAGGTTTCCGGTGTGCTTTCGCAAATGTTGTGGTTTGCTTTGTGAGGTTTGGGGTTTGTTTTAGGAGATTTGTGGTATGCATTCGGAGGTTTCTGGTTTGCATTAAGAAGTTTTTGGTGTGCTTTCGAAACTTTTATGGTTTGCTTTGCGAGGTTTCTGGTTTGTTTTAATATATTTGTGGCCTGCATTAGGACGTTTTTGGTTTGCTTTACCGTGTTTGTGGTTTGTATTAGAGAGGTTTCTGGTTTGCATTAAGAAGTTTCTGGTGTGCTTTCGAAACTTTTGTGGTTTGCTTTGCGAGGTTTCTGGTTTGTTTTCATATATTTGTGGTTTGCTTTCCGAAGTTTCTGGTTTGTTTTAAGCGATTTGTAATACGGATTAGGAGGTTTCTAGTATGCTTTTTTTTGTTTTGATTTATCGTGTTTGTGCTCTGTATTAGAAGGGTTCTAGTGTGCTTATGAAATACTTGTGGATTGCATACCAATAACTCCCAAATACATACCATAAACACAATAATTCATACAAAAAACACTAAAGTACATAAATTGTTTTTTAACCCCCACCTCAGCCACACCCACATTACTGAAACCCATTAATTCCCCCAAAAACACTCGGCAGCTCATAATTTCTTTCATTCATCTCATGGATCTGTATCGCCTCTGCCGCCTTCCACAGGGGAGAGCAGCAATCTTCCCAAAGTTTCCAACCGTCCAAACAGCCTCCTCCTGTGCAATCAAATCCTCCTTTTTTGAATCCCGCTTCCCGCATTGCCTACATCTCGTGAATCCTTTCAATTTCCAACCCTTCGTCGATCGTCCTCCCGCCTAGATTCTTCCACTCCTTTCTTCATCACGAGCTGAACATTTAATCCGCAGCCCAGCCGCAGGGAGCTTGTGATTCATTTTATCCACGATGAACGGCGGCGATGGGGAGATTGACGGCTGAACTTACTCGTGCTGGATACTCCGCCGCTGCCGCCAGCGTTCTTGCTCACGCCGAACTGCCTTTCTATCAGATTGAATCTGCTCCCCACCAGGGAGAGCAACAATCTGTATCAGGCGCAACAAGAACCTGGGTCTCTTTGGATACGATCGCGCTGGAAAGCGGGCGGAGATTGGATGAATCGTCGGATCTAGAAAAGAATCGCCTCCTTCCGTGGTGGAGAGGCTGTAGGCCTGATTTCTACTTCGTTCCCTAGTCGGCGTAGATGCCCTGTATGAAGGCTACGCTGGCGGCCATCCAAATGCCAGATCCAACAGAGGAGAGAAACTAGTGTGCCCAGGCGTGGATGCGGCCAACGAGGAGGTGGCGAGACCAAACGACGAGGAAGGCAAAGCGAAATCGGGATCGAGATTTCTTCCTAGTCGTCAGGTGAATCCTTCATCGCCGGAGTTGAGATCCAGAGACGAAAAGAGATCGAGAGACGGAGAGAGGGTGGCTGGGGATTGAAATTTTATTTTTTTAATTTTAATTTGTTATTTTGTGTTAGTTTACCCTTTTACCCTTAACAAATCTTGTTGTTAGTATAACAACACTATGAGTGTTGTTATACTATCCGCTCCCCTATGAGAGAGGGGGTTCACTGCTGACTTACCAAATAAGTTGACTAAAGAAACTGACCTAAGCATAGCTCTCCGAACCAACTGAAGGAAACAACGACATAAAGAAAGACAGACAAGGACGGGAAAGGCGGAGAAGCAATTCCCCCCTGCTGGGGGTTCCTGTTACACGATCCAAGATCAAGAACCAGAAAAAGAAAAGGTAATGCGTCAAGGTAGCCCAGCTTCTTACTATTTCTTATAGGAATGGGATTCATGCATCTTTATTTTCAGAAAGCCTGGGGGTCCCTTATCCCCGTAGAATACTGTTTCCTTCTGCTAAAGTTTTTCTTATTCATTTTCTTTCCCCTACCGCCCACATCCATATAATTACTAATTACTGATACATGGTTAGTGTCAATAATTAGCCGCCATAACCTTCATTGTTCATCAGACTTACTGTTGGATTGTCTTGCCATAATTCCACCAATGCCCTGAATTGAGGACCAACACATCAGCATTCCTCCAATGGGTTGAGCTCCAATCCATTAGATCCAGTTTCAGCGTTAGTCGAACCTTCGCCCCAGGAGGAGGCCTGCCCATCGGAACAAGATACGGAGACCTGTAATATTCCACCGTGCAATTGTAATCCTCGAACTTGAACGCCAAATACCCTTTGTGCTTCGTAATAGGATTCCCATTCACTTCATAAACAGAGCTCGTGTTGGCAACAACAGAGGATAACAAGCATAACATGGATTCCCATTGATTCCTCCCCAGCGAATCCCCAACAAACACCAACCGCTTGTTCCTCAGCTTCTCCAGCATAAACTTCCCGTCAAATCTGGATCAGAAGTAAAAAAGACATCAACTTTTTATTCTCATTTCCTCAGAGACCAAACATAGTGTTTTCTTGAGTTTTCTAGATTGGTTTTGAACAATTTGTATAATTAATTTGTGATTTGCTTGAATTTTCCAGAATGGTGTTTTATATATGGATAATTTGTATTGAGAGATTGATATTTGACTTTCATTTAGATAGAAACTTGTTATTGTAAATTTTTTACGACAAAAACTCGTGGGTACGCATGAACCCGTGGATAGCCAGCGGGTTGGGTTGGGTTTGAGTTTTTCAAAACTCAGTGGGTTTTACCCCGGTTTTTTTCACGGAAAAAGCCATGGGTTTGGATTTGGATTTGGCAAAACCCGACCGAACCCGACCCATTGTCATCCCTAAATATATCAAAATACGCATTTCCCGTTGCTCACACTGTCTGCATACTAGGCGTGTTGAATTTCGAGAATCACGTAAATTATTCGCTTTGGCGTATCTGTGTGTTAAAGAGAGAGATTTAGGGAAGAGAAGACTGGAACTGGCACTGGCAGGGAGGAAAGGAATGACACATTTATGAAATCATATCATCATTATTATTTTTTCCTATTAAAGTCAAAAGCAAAACTCCAACCACTTCTCCTCGACTCCTCTCCCGTCTCAATTCCTTCGCTCATCGCGACTTTTCATCCTACGCTCTACCATTTTCCTACGCCGGCGGCACCTTCCGCGCTCTCTCCTCGAGCTTCCCCGTCCTCTTTCCCCTCCTGCTCTTCGCTGTTTGAATCGGGACGCAGGGTCGCCGCCGCCGCCGCCAGTTCCCCATTTCAAGCTTCCGTTTCGCGCCGGTAACAATCTGATCTGCCTCACTTCTTTTCTTCCTCCTCCTCTTTTTCTTCATCTTTGTTAAATTCATTAGGTGATCCTTTGTTCTATTTTTCTTATTCTTATTCTTGTTTGTTCGCCGGCAGTGGATTGTGTTTCGTCTTGGAATTGTGGGCGTTGTTTGTTTTTTTGGTATTCTCCTGCTTCTGCTTCGTCTCCGTCTCCTCTTGCTTGGTTCGATCTGCTCATCATTTGGCTCAACTCGATTCACTCTTGTTGCGCTATGATGTGCAAATGATCAACTGTTGCTCTGAGTTGCTGTTGCCTTCACAATTCTGCTAGTTTTGTGATTTTTGCGCAGGTTTATGTTCAGCTTATTAGGAGTCTTCGCTTATTCGTCCTGTAGAAAATTGATTTTATTGTTTGCTGTTTGGAGCGTTTCCAAATTTGGTTTCGGCTATCGGCAATAGTTAGTTCTCATTAGCGAATTGCTTGATTTGGTCAAGTAGGTTCTTCTTTCGTTTGGTATAAGGTAAAGGATTGGATTCCATGTAATGGGGATGATAAGTTAATAAATCGTCGATTTCCTTCCTCTCCATGAAGGACTTGTTGTAATAATCAAGGGGATGGGAGGGACGCCACATAAGGTCAACTAAAATGTCTTGCATTGGCAATATCCATGCCTCAATTGAAAGCCTGAGAGATTCTATCAAGAAAAAAGAATTTGCGTTTATTCAATTTGTTGGTAATTAGATAATTTGTTGGTAGGCATGTAGAAGTATGACCTGCTTTGTCGTATTTGTTACATTCTTTATAGCCAGCCATTCCCTTGGCAATTTGGTATCAGAAGCTTAAGTTTGCTTCTTCTTCTCCTTTTCCTTCTATTCATTCTAACTGTAAGTTTTTTGTTTTGTATTTGACTAAATCCAAATCCAGGTTATCGTACGTCTGAAGCATGAGCTGCTTCAGCTGTTGCGAAGAGGATGAGATCCATAAAGCTGCTGACAATGGAGGTCATTATCCCTTAAAGAGTTCTGGAGGTATTGTCCTTGTTCCTGAATTGGATTTGGAAACTCAGCAGAATTAGAACTTTTGGATAGGCTGTGGGCTTTTTCTGAAGCTATCTTTGTCGATCACTTTTTCATTCGTTCTCAATGATGCTCAACTGAGTGCTAATATCGAATCTATTTAGATCTCTAGTCTGGTACATTATTGTTTACTGCGCAATTACAATTTTTTTACGTTCAGTGGAACAACAAATCTACAGTTTCTTTCTCTTCATTGCATTTTAGTGCACTGAAGGAGAAGTATTCAATTCTGATTATTCCTCATACTACTTGTATTGCATCTGGAAGTGATGAGAATCGTGTTAGGAAAAAATCTCAACACTAGTTTACTGGGAGTATCTTTCTAGTACTGCTCTTTGATTTACAATTGATGATCATCCGTATGCTCATATTGCGTTAGGAAGATATTTGTTTTGTGCAAACTGCCTTAGAGAAACTGGCCAGCTCGGTGTAAGGTAGAGGAGAACTAGACTTGGGTTCCTCTACAACAGCAGCAATCTGAATAGACCTAATATTCCAGTACCAATGACAGGCTTCGAACCCTCAGCTGAACTAATATTCCATTTGTGCCTGATATGATTCGTAATGGGAAGCGTTGTCTTGATCATATACTTCTGTTTCTAACAATTATTGTATCTTTTTATTGTGGAAACTCATCAAACAGGAAGTATAGGAGGCCATCATGCCTCAGAAACTGCGCCTAAAGGGGCTCAGATTATCAAGATCCAGCCCATTGAAGTCCCAGCATTAGCTTTGGACGAGTTGAAGGAAGTTTCAGAAAACTTTGGTACTAATTCTTTGATTGGAGAAGGCTCCTATGGAAGAGTGTATTATGGCATTCTCAAGAATGGGCAGGGTGCAGCGATTAAAAAGTTAGATGCCAGCAAACAGCCTGACGATGAATTCCTAGCTCAGGTTTACTGCAAACCTGAGATCATAGTTATTAATAGTTTACTGCATCTTATAGTTGCATCTCTAATGTTTTTGTTTTTATTTCTCAGGTCTCAATGGTTTCAAGACTTAAACATGATAACTTTGTCCAATTGCTTGGGTATTGTGTTGAAGGAGGGTCTCGCATACTTGCTTATGAATTTGCATCGAATGGTTCGCTGCATGATATTCTTCATGGTAAGTCCTTATCTTCTTCTCTCTCTTGATTCCGTGCTTTGAAGAGTTGCATTTCCTTAAAGCTGGGACCTTATACTAGTGCATAATTCAACAAGCTACAATCAAATTATGGCCTTTCATTTCAGGCAGTTATGTGAAATTAAATCTGACCTTTTTGCTGGAGCAAGTTGTGAATAATAATGCCCTTATCAAAATACCTAAAAGCTCTTCACTTATTATATGGGATGGCACTGGTAAAATCTCACTTCTTTCAGAATCACGAGATGTCGGTTCATGATGCAGAAACTTTGCTTATGGTGCAAACTTCAAAGAGGGATTTGGGTTGTCTTCATTGTTGGTGATACCCCATACCTTTCTGCCGGCTCTTGTCTGGAATATGTGTGATCACCTTTTTCGTTCGCATTTTTGTTGGGTCGTGGATGCAGGAAGGAAAGGTGTTAAAGGTGCACAGCCAGGTCCTGTCCTGACATGGGTGCAGCGTGTTAAAATTGCTGTTGGGGCTGCTAAGGGCCTTGAATATTTGCATGAAAAGGCCAATCCCCATACCATCCACCGTGACATTAAATCCAGCAATGTTCTGATTTTTGATGATGAAGTTGCAAAGATTGCTGATTTTGATTTGTCAAATCAAGCTCCTGACATGGCGGCACGGCTTCACTCTACTCGTGTACTGGGCACATTTGGATATCATGCTCCTGAGTAAGTTCTCTGTTCGGCTGATGGATTATTCTCGAACAAGAGTACTGCTATTCATCTTTGAACTGAAAAGCTTTGCAGTAGGGGAAGCCAAATTGATCTGCTTGTCCCTGTGTTCTTCGTTTCTTCTTTCTTTTCAGATATGCCATGACTGGGCAGTTGAATGCAAAGAGTGATGTTTATAGTTTCGGGGTGGTGCTTCTTGAGCTTCTGACTGGTCGTAAACCCGTTGACCACACACTGCCACGTGGGCAACAAAGTCTGGTCACATGGGTATTTATTGCTTTTTATTCCCTTCCCTCTTCTCTTGCAATACATTAAGAAGCTTTCTAACTACTTTTTATTCCCTCCACTAATCAGGAAGCTCTCCCATTTTTTTCAATGCCGTAGGCTACACCTAAACTTAGCGAGGACAAGGTTAGACAATGTGTTGATACAAGACTAGGAGGAGAATTCCCACCCAAGGCGGTTGCAAAGGTAATCATTAAACGTGGCATTTCTCTTTTTGTTGTAAATGAAGATAGATTCTGTTAGAGCATTATTGGAGAACCATTCCCTATGCCATACACCCAACAGTCCATTTGGATCCCTACTATCATTCTGCTGAATTGTCGTCAGTATACATGGAATGCATTAGTTATAGTGAATCATTGACATTTTCTGTTAAACTAAATCGAAAACCCTTTCTGGTTATATTGGTGGGGGAAACGTAGATGGCTGCAGTGGCTGCTTTGTGCGTGCAATACGAAGCTGATTTCAGACCAAACATGAGTATCGTCGTTAAAGCACTACAACCTCTACTAAACGCCCGGGCAGGTCCTGTAGGTGAAACCCCAGCCGTCTAATTCTCTCTCTCTGCTCTGCTCCCTCCCCTTGGGGTGTGCATGTACTAGATGGATATGAGATGCCCCAAGCGGGCACATTGGTGTGGTAAGGTCACAGTGACATTATTATTTCTTTCTTCATTTATTCCCAGGGAGAAGGAACCATCCCTACACTTCTCTCCATTTTTGTTATGCGTTTCATCTGTTCATAATTCGAGTGAGTGTTCTGTCTCATATTGTTAACTCTATGCATATGTTCAGATATGTTTTCGTTACTCTGTGTTGTGTATGTTTGCAGATATGTGGATAAGATAATTATTGATAATGATCTTCGCCTCAGTGGGATATTGGTTAAGGCAAGTGCTGTACATCCGTGCATGCCATGTTTTATTCTATACTGTATGCCTCTATTAGTTGGGACTTGGTAGGGTGGGCATGCGGTTCGGATTTACCGAACTGAACCGAATAAAAACCAACCGAAACTGAATTTAACCTTATTAGGTTCGGAATTCGGACTGGAATAGACCATATTTTGGGAGACATCTTCTTTTGAACCGAACCGAACAATCGATTTTTCGACCGATTTTCCGAATTGTCAACCTATGTGATTTGCTGGCTGCTGCGCCCAGATCCCAGAGCCCACTCCCAGGCCCAAGTTCCCAACCCAGCCCAAGTGTTTAATCCTCAGCCCGCCCAAGTCCCAACCCAGCGTCCCAACCCAATGCCCACCCCTAAGTCCCAACCCAGCCCAATGTACAATGTGAACAAGCAGAGAGATGGAATGGAAGGAATCAGAAAGTGAGATTGTCGTTTGACTCGACCAGCAAGTTGAAACCAAATGGGAAAGTAACTTACCCAATACCCACCCAGCCGCAACCCTGATCCATCCACGCCATTCTTGAATCTTCCGCGCCGCTGCCCGCTTGGCGCTTGTAACCCAGCTCCCGATCGGCGTCTCTTCCACAGTCCCGATGGTCGTTTCTCCACGGGCGACGGGGACGGCGTGACTTAAGGGCTGCGTCAGCCGTTTCTTGATAAGTTCTATGACTTCACTTTGAAGAGCTCGGGCTCAAGGTATACCACTTCTAACTTGTTCTTACAAGAGGTGCATTCCTTATATCATTTGATACACAAGTGGGAGACTGAAGTTGAGAAAGATTATGACTTGAGTGTCATGGTTAGCAAGATGAAAATAAAGTACGAGAAGTATTGGGGAGATGTGGATAAAATGAACAATCTACTTTACATCTCCACTGTTATGGGTCCGAGGTACAAGTTGGGTTTTGTTGACTATGCTTTGAAAAGGGGGTATCCTGAGGATGGTAAGAGAGGACGTATGGCAGAAGATGTGAATAAGGCTACATTTGCTCTATTTGCTCACTATGAACAGCTTTGGAAATCAAAGCAATCTAAGAATGCCTCTACTTCTTTGGCTCCAATTGTGGAGTAGTGTGATATTAATGAGATTGATGTACTTGTTGAATACAAAAAGTATAGAGGGCAAGCCCAATGTACAATGTGAACAAGCAGAGAGATGGAATGGAAGGAATCAGAAAGGGAGATCGTCGTTTGACTCGACCAACAAGTTGAAACAAAATGGGAAAGTAACTTACCCAATACCCACCCAGTCGCAACCCTGATCCATCCACGCCATTCTTGAATCTTCCGCGCCGCTGCCCGCTTGGCGCTTGTAACCCAGCTCCCGATCGGCGTCTCTTCCACAGTCCCGATGGTCGTTTCTCCACGGGCGACGGGGACGGCGTGACTTAAGGGCTGCGTCAGCCGTTTCTTGATAAGTTCTATGACTTCACTTTGAAGAGCTCGGGCTCAAGGTATACCACTTCTAACTTGTTCTTACAAGAGGTGCATTCCTTATATCATTTGATACACAAGTGGGAGACTGAAGTTGAGAAAGATTATGACTTGAGTGTCATGGTTAGCAAGATGAAAATAAAGTACGAGAAGTATTGGGGAGATGTGGATAAAATGAACAATCTACTTTACATCTCCACTGTTATGGGTCCGAGGTACAAGTTGGGTTTTGTTGACTATGCTTTGAAAAGGGGGTATCCTGAGGATGGTAAGGGAGGACGTATGGCGGAAGATGTGAATAAGGCTACATTTGCTCTATTTGCACACTATGAACAGCTTTGAAAATCAAAGCAATCTAAGAATGCCTCTACTTCTTTGGCTCCAATTGTGGAGGAGTGTGATATTAATGAGATTGATGTACTTGTTGAATACAAAAAGTATAGAGAGCAAGCCCAATGTACAATGTGAACAAGCAGAGAGATGGTATGGAAGGAATCAGAAAGGGAGATCGTCATTTGACTCGACCAGCAAGTTGAAACCAAATGGGAAAGTAACTTACCCAATACCCACCCGGTCGCAACCCTGATCCATCCACGCCATTCTTGAATCTTCCGCGTCGCTGCCCGCTTGGCGCTTGTAACCCAGCTTTCGATCGGCGTCTCTTCCACAGTCCCGATGGTCGTTTCTCCACGGGCAACGGGGACGGCGTGACTTATGGGCTGCGTCAGCCGTTTCTTGATAAGTTCTATGACTTCACTTTGAAGAGCTCGGGCTCAAGGTATACCAATTCTAACTTGTTCTTACAAGAGGTGCATTCCTTATATCATTTGATACACAAGTGGGAGATTGAAGTTGAGAAAGATTATGACTTGAGTGTCATGGTTAGCAAGATGAAAATAAAGTACGAGAAGTATTGGGGAGCTGTGGATAAAATGAACAATCTACTTTACATCTCCACTGTTATGGGTCCGAGGTACAAGTTGGGTTTTGTTGACTATGCTTTGAAAAGGGGGTATCCTGAGGATGGTAAGGGAGGACGTATGGCGGAAGATGTGAATAAGGCTACACTTGCTCTATTTGCTCACTATGAACAGCTTTGGAAATCAAAGCAATCTAAGAAGGCCTCTACTTCTTTGGCTCCAATTGTGGAGGAGTGTGATATTAATGAGATTGATGTACTTGTTGAATACAAAAAGTATAGAGAGCAGATTGTAGGGGGCGGTAAACAAATCTGAGCTTGAGAAATACCTTCGTGAGGAAGACGAGCCAATGGTGCTCAAGTTTGATGTTCTAGGTTGGTGGAAAGTTAACAGCTTGAGGTTTCCAGCACTTTCATTGATGGCTAAAGATGTTCTAGCGGTACCTATCTCTACCGTTGCATCCGAATCTGCCTTTAGCGCTGGTGGGAGGATGTAAGATGATTTCAGAAGTTCATTGACTCCTAAGATAGTGGAGGCTTTAATTTGTAGCTCGGATTGGATATGTGGTGATTCTGTACCACCATCAGTCGAGGAGGATCCAGAAGAGGTTGAGAAAATAGATGAAGGTAAAGTCTCAATTCTAGCATTACATATTTACAACATGATTAATTTGTATGTCATGACTAATTTTGGGTCTTTTTAATCTTGCAGAATTGGACAAGTTGATGAATGCAATCTCTATAAGAGATAATCTTGTTTCATCTACCTCGACTTCCAATGTACCAAGTTCAAGTGGAAGGAGGAACGATGGTAGTGCATCTGGTAGTGCTTGTGGTGATAATTCTGATGTTTCTATGCATGATTGATGAGTTTAGAGGTAAGAAGTTGAGATTTTATCCTACTTGGCTATCTGTAATTAGCTCTATACATATTAATCACTAACCATCATTGTTTCATGTTTATTGTACTATTTTCAATTTAAAAGGTGTCAATTGACCAAGAGTGAAGAGCCAAGAAGCAAGACCTTAGAGTTTGTAAAAGTTATGCTTGGAGTTTAGACAATGGCTACCTTTCTTTTGTTAGTTTGAATTGAAAACAATTTGTATTGTAATGAATGCTTCTAAACGGGTGAACTTCTCGTATTTGTATTGGATATTTGGAAGGTGGATATGTTTTATTTGTATTAGAATATTTGGAATGGGGACTTGAGATGAATTGCAAGGGACTATATATATTTACATCATTTCCAGCAGCAAGTGAAATTTCCAACAGCAGCAGGCTGGTACCAAAACCCTTAAAAGGTTAAAGTTTAAGAGGCAGCAGGTTTTTCGGTTATGGCCGAATCGAAATACTATTTGGTTCGAATTCGGTTGGCTCAAGGCACAGTTCGGAATACCTTTACTTCCTTGTTCGGTTCGGTTCAAACTGAACCGACCGAACGCCCACCCCTAGGACTTGGGACTAGAGGTGGCAAATGAATTGAATTCATGGTTGATTGGCTAGTGGATTGGTGGGTTGGATCAAGTGGATTGGTGGGTTGATCCATGGGTGCAAATAACATCAAGCCTTAGATCATTATGTACTAAAATATCATAATTAAAAAATTTAGATACTAAAATGTAATTTTTTCCAGTTAAATAAAAATAAAATGCATTAAACACAGGCAAGCTAAATCAACTAGACCTGGCAAATTGCAACCTGACCCGTTGACCCGACTAGAAAACGCCCGAAAAGTATAAATTTTTATAGCCCGAAATTCGAATGACCCGAACCCGATAACCCGTGATTTTTTTGGTCGGGTTGAGTGGATTAGCGGGTTGACTCGTTAGACCCGTTACATTTTATATATCACTCCCGAAATGATAAAATCACTCATAAGGTGAGATGTTTAAAAAAAAACTCATAAGGATTTGAATGACATGTTTGGAGTTTAAAGATAATCAAATATCATGTGTTTCTTGTAGTAGTATTACTCTTGTGATTGTTTTTTGACGATTTGCGCAATTTTCATTTCATTAGATTGGGAAGAATTGAGACTATGTTAATTGACATGTGTTAAGTAAACTACTGTCATGCATATGTGAGAATTTGTGTTCTTTAAGAAAATATGAAACATGTTTGATATTGTTTTTAAGAGCGCTCATAACCCGAAACAACCTGTAACCCGACCCGAAATCGAATGGTTGGATCAATATTAGACCCGAAATCTTCCAACCAAACATGAGCCGACCTGTAACCGGAGTCCCCAACCCGGCCCGATTTTCAGGTCTAGAACCAACATCCTCTCAAACTATTTTTACAACCATCAAAAGATGCATTTACAGTATGTGTATATACTATATACATATACCATCTACCACTCCAAGCCAAGTCTTTCGAAGCATTTTTGGAGGACATGATTGATCGACATTCGACAAGAAGCGCACCCTTCACTTCTTTGCATACCAGATCAGGAGGTTTTGCATAGCTTGATCCGTACACATACTTGCGCATCTTTCTTTCCATACCAAGCTGATGCACACAGACCACACTAACTTGGAAACTGTAGACACAACCGATCTCCCACACCAATGCTTCACACACCACTCAATGACATGGTCATAATAAGTAAAAGGAGGAGCATAGGCCAATAGGCAACTGGACGCAACACTCACTATATAAGGACAATGCACGAACATGCGACTTCTGTCTCCTACACCTCTAGGGCAGAGCAACACAAAGACCAGAAACACTTTTCCCTATGCCAATAGCTTATCTTGCATAACCAATCGGTTATGCAGTGCAAGCCAGAGAATGAAGCCATGTTTAGGTATCACTTCCTTACTCTATAGTCATTGCACAGGAGCATCCTTCACCCTAATTGTATCACAAATCATTTTGACAGAGTATCAGCTCAGTAGGACACAATTCCATGACAAATTAGGTCCTACACCCGATATATGTTGTTGACCACACTTGACATTTCACAACCGTTTCCAAATCCAGGTTCCTGCTCAAGTTACAAACAATGTCCATATACTTTGTTGCTTAATCTTATATCTTTTAACCCACTCAACCCAGAGCGAGCCTCCTGTAGACAGAATGTCCCACAAATGTCGCGCAACACAGGCTAAGTTCCATATCTTAAAATTTCTCACACCAAGTCCACCTTCCTTTTTAGGCCTAGCTAATTTTACCCAGGCCATTACAACCCTTTTCCTCCCATCAGCTTCATCAATATGCCATAGGAACTCACTACATAGCCTCTCTACCTCCTTAATCACAAATTGTGGCAAAAGGAAGAGTGCTAGAAATTACAGTCGAGAAACTTCCATTAGCTCTAAGACTAGGGATCAAAGGAATTGGTGGGAAATCCAGAAAAGCTAAATCCCACTGTTAGAACATTTAAAAAAGAGGAGAGCCGGAGTTTTGCCATTTCGTCGCCAATCGCTGCGGCTCTTTCAAACCTGACAACTAACTGAATTTTACCTTCATAACTAAGAAGATTGGACTTCCAACTAAAAAATAAAATTTAAGTACCAAAATGTGAAATATAAAAAATATAGATACTAAACTATAATTTGTTGACAATCCATGAATCAATCTACTAATCCAACTAGCATTGGGCCCGGCCCGTTGGCCGGTAAAATCTACATGTACTCTTTTAGACGAACTTCAATGCTAGTCCCTAAACCCGTGGACCTTCATCTCCAAATTTGGGGATGATTCCCATTTTCTA